CTGAACACAACACTCTAAAACAGTCCCTGAACACAACACTCTAAAACGGTCCGTAAACGGTCCGTGAACACAACACACTAAAACAGTCCGTGAACGCAACACTCCAAGTTGTCCAACATTTAGACACAGTGCTGGAGACGAACACGCGCTCACAGACCGATGTGCGTCACGCAGCTGGAACAGCTGGCTTGAAGGAATCAGCTGATACTAAAAGATAAAGAAATCTGCACGAGCTCGTTGTTTTTGGTCAGCCGTGTCCGCGCGCAGCAGGAAGAGTTAAAGGTACTCACGCACTGCGTCCTGTTTCGGGTCCAGCTCGGTGCAGAGCTGCTGGAGGGGGCTGATTCGAGCCTGCAGCCCCCGGAGCCGCAGTCTCGTGCTCGTCAGCTCGTCCTCGAGCTCCTGGAACATGGAGCACGCGTGTCTGGCCAGGTCCGACAGCTGCCGCACGCTCCGGGACAGAGCCACGTTACTGATGGACACCAGGTCCTCGAACAGCAGACCCCCCTCATGTGGGACGGGGTGCCTGCACAGGAAGCGCGGCCCCACGGCTCTTTTGGTGAACGGCATGTCGCTGCTGTGGAGCGGGAAGAAACCCAACAAGAGTCAGCAGAGGGTGGGCAGAGGGCTGCCGCTGCCTGCCCCCACCCTCACTCCCTGATCCAGCCTTTTTGAATTCAGCTGCTGGTGCTGGTGCCCCCCATCCTGTGGCGCTCGTCGCTGCGCGCCGCTCACGCGCCGCTCTGACCCTGCTCTGGTTGCTCTGCTCCAGGATACCAGCAGGCGGTGCAAACACCTGGACTGGAGCCGGAGCGGCGCGGAGCAGGATTCACCACGACGCACACTGGCAGAAGGAAGCTGCTGCAACTTTCTGATATAAATACCATTATATTTCACCATATTGAGAAATACCATCAAACATAAAAAGTTACAAGAAGACAAAAATAAAACATACGTTTGAGAAGATTTTGCCATTTGGTGGGGGCAATAAACTGAAGCGCTGCCTTTGTCTGTGTCCATTGGTTATGAGTGTTATGTGAGTCTTTGACTGACACAAAGTAATTTACTTATGAGATACTAAGTTATCATTGAGATATACTGTCAAAATTATGAGCAATTACATCATAATTATGACATACCAAGTCATAAATAAAATGTACATGCCAAGGTCGATCATTTTATAAGTAGCATCTTAAAAGTATGGGATACACAGAGTAATAAGCAGTTATCTCAAAATAATAAACTACTTAGTCATATTTATGAGATACTAATTTAAAGTTATGGGATTAATAGTACTTTGTACATAAATACAATATACTATAGTCAGGAGGATTAATCCGCACAAAGCAACCGGCCCAGACAACATCCCCAGAAAAGTGTTGAAGGAATGTGCTGATCAGCTCTGCGAGGTGCTGGCAGACATCTTTAACACCTCACTTACCCTGGAGACAGTTCCCACCTGCCTGAAGACTGCCACCATCATCCCAGTCCCAAAAAGCTCTACAGTGACTGGTCTGAATGACTATCGGCCAGTGGCCCTCACCCCGATATTCGCTAAATGCTTCGAAAAACTGGTCATGACTCACATCAAAACAACCATCAACATCAACGAGGACCCTCATCAGTACGCATACCGTGAGAACCGATCAACAGAGGATGCAATATCCTCTGTGGTCCACACTGCGCTCAACCACCTGGAGCAGAAAAACTCTTACGTCCGAATGCTCTTTGTGGACTTCACATCCGCCTTCAACTCAGTTTATTTATATAGCACCAAATCACAACAAAGTTGTCTCAGGGACTTTACAGGAACATTCACATAAAAGCCAATTAGTAAAGTTCTCTATCTGAGGAATCCAGCAGACAAGTTGAATCTTGGCTTTGTTGCAGTCTCCCATCCTGAGCAAGCACAGTGGAGACAGTGGAAAGAAAAACTCCCTTTTAAAAGGAAGAAACCTCCAGCAGAACCAGCTCAGGACAAGAGGCCATCTGCTTTGACCGGCTGGTTGAGAGGACAGGAAGGAGAGACAGACGAACATAGAATGGTAGGTCCAGGTATAGGTCCAGGTCCAGGTATAGGTCCAGGTATAGGTCCAGGTCCAGGTATAGGTCCAGGTGTACCTGAAAGACAAAAAAACACATGTTAAGGATAGAAAAAATAATTACAAATACAAAACAGGTTGAGCAGAGTAAGTAAAGACTGTAGCAGAGTGAAAAGTGTTGTCAGTTTGTCCTCCAGCAGTCTAAGCCTATAGCAGCATAACTAAGGGACAGCTCAGGAAACCCAAGCCGACCCTAACTATAGGATTTATCAAAAAGGAAAGTCTTAATCCCAGTTTTAAAACTGGATAATGTGTCAGCCTCACGGACAGAGATTGGAAGTTGGTTCCACAAGAGAGGAGCCTGATAACTGAAAGATCTGCCTCCCATTCTGTTTTTGTAAATTCTAGGAACCACAAGTAAACCTGCAGCCTGAGAGCAAAGTGCTCTGTTAGGAAAATATGGAACAATAAGATCTGTAATATAAGATGGAGCTAGGTTGTTGAGGGTTTTGTAAGTTAGAAGTAAGATTTTGAATTCTATTCTGGATTTGACAGGGAGCCAATGGAGAGAAGCTAAAACTGGAGAAATATGATCTCTCCCAGTAACTCCAGTTAAGACTCTGGCAGCAGCATTTTGGATCAACTGAAGATGTTTTAAAGAAGTATTTGGACATCCAGATAATAAACCATTGCAATAGTCCAATCTAGATGTGACAAATGCATGGACCAGTTTTTCTGCATCATTTTTAGATCAGATGTTTCTAATGTTAGTGATATTACGCAGGTGGAAGAAGGAGGTTCTAGTAATGTTTTTAATGTGGGGGATAAAAGACATGTCCTGATCAAAAATAACACCAAGATTTTTAACATTAGAGCTGGAGGACAGATTAATGCATCTAAGGAGGGAGAAAGACTGAAAAATTAATTCCTAAGGTGCTCAGGTCCAAAAACCAAAACCTCAGTCTTGTCTGTTCAACAGGAGAAAATTTAGGGTCATCCAGGTTTTTATGTCTTTAAGACATGCTTGTAGTCTAAGTAGCTGATTGGATTCATTGGGTTTAATGGACAAATATAATTGTGTGTCATCAGCATAACAATGGAAATTTATCCCATGCTGTTTAATAACTTTACCTAATGGAAGCATATATAAAGTAAAGAGTGCTGGCCCAGGCACTGAGCCCTGAGGAACTCCATGACTAATTTTGGTGTATGAAGAAGATTTATTATTTACATTTACAAAATGGAATCTATCAGATAGATATGATTTAAACCATTTTAGAGCTGTTCCTGTAATCCCAACATCATATTCAAGCCTCTGTAGTAAAATATTGTGATCAACTGTATCAAATGCAGCAATGAGGTCTAACAGGACCAGTAGAGACACAAGTCCATTGTCTGAGGCCGTGAGAACATCATTAGTAATTTTTACTAGTGCTGTTTCTGTTCTATGATGAGCTCTAAACCCTGACTGAAACTCTTCAAACAGATTATTTCTTTGTAGATGTTCACACAGCTGACCTGCAACTATTGTCTCTAGAATTTTTGAGATGAAAGTTAGATATAGATCTATAGTTGGCCAGGATTTCTGAATCAAAATCAGACTTCTTAAGTAAAGGTTTAATTACAGCAACCTTAAAGCTCTGTGGTACATAAACATCCATTAAAGACAAATTAAGTAGATCCAAAATGTGGACATTAATTAGGGGAAATACCTCTTTAAACAGTCTGGTTGGGATGGGATCTAGCAGGCATGTGGATGGTTTGGATGAGATTATTATTTTTGACAATTCAGAGCTCAACAGGACAAAAACTGTCCAAACATAAATCAGGCTCTAGTGAAATTTTTAAAGTTGCCTCATTTGATAGGCGACTAGAGATAGTAGAAGGAAGGATGGTTTGAATTTTCTCTCTAATTGAAATAATTTTATTTATAAAGAATCTCATGAAGTCGTCACTACGCCATGAAATTTGGAAACAACAGATTTTTCCCTTAAAATGATACATTCTCTCAGCTTAAACTTTTGATCTGTGATTTGTGTTCTATTCAGAATAAAATATTAGATGTTGGCACCTCCACATCATTGCATTCAGTTTTTATTCACAATTTGTTTAGTGTCCCAACTTTTTTGGAATCCAGTTTGTAGATAAGGAAAGAACTAACATACATTTATTCCAAATTTGTCCCTAATCTAAATATTTGTCTGTCAAACTTTGGTTTTCCCCTCAGCATGTAGACCTTGCTGCCTGCTCCGAGCTTCATTCACAATTGCTGAATGAGTGTTTAGGTAAATCCCACCAGCTGACAGGGCCAGATTTGACAGGGTTGGCGGCCCGAAAGCTCATCCTGCAGCCTAACTAATGTCCACAGTAGAAATGCAACCTTTGCAAAGCCCATCTGAGGACAAAGAAGGGACAAGAGTAGTGGAGTGTGGCGTCACCTTTGAGTTATGTTTCTGCAACAAAAGGCCTAACTTGGATGGATAAAAGCTGGTAATCTTTGTTGTGAAACAGGTGGACTTTAATCTGGAGCCACAGAGTTGTATGGATACATTTTATTTCCACTGAATGTCAATATAGTTAACTACACACTGAAGACCCACAGTCTCAATGCTGTCATTGTAGATTTGTGTCTGCAAGCACTAAACATCTACGTCTCCAGCTCCATGAATCATTAATAAGCATACACATGATAATAAGCCAGTTGCAGTCTGAATGGAGACAGCTGGGTGGTAATTATATTAAGCAGTCATATACTTAGAGACAACACATTACTGTCATATGGTAGTTTCCTCCTGCAGTGCAGCTGTCGTCATGCAATGCCAACTGAACACTTTTAAGTGGTATTTATAGTTCAGTGAGAATTGACCCATGTTAAGCCATCTGATTTCACAAATTTCATACACACACTTCATGATGTGTAAGAAACTAGATGTGCAGACCGGGAGGAGACACAGCTAGACAATTTGCTTCCTGTTAAGAAAAATGTACAGTGGCTTAAATGTTCTGAAACAAAAACCAACCAACCAAACAAATAAACCTTGTTTAGCTGAGTTCATCCTGAGTTCTTTATGAATACTTATTTTGTATTTTCAAAATCTTTAACTTACATACATACAAACAAAAAACATAAAATACAAATCTTGTTTGGGCAGCACGGTGGTGCAACTGGTAGAGCTGCTGCCTCTCAGCGAGCAGGTCCTTTGTTCAAATCCCGGTCCAGGGGCCTTTCTGGGTGGAGTTTGCATGTTCTCTCCGTGCATGCGTGGGTTTTCTCCGGGTACTCCGGTTTCCTCCCACAGACCAACAACATGCATGTTAGGCTGATTGGTAACTCTAAATTGTCCCTAGGTGTGAGTGAGAGAGTGAATGGTTGTTTGTCTCGTTTGTCTCTATGTGGCCCTGTGATGGACTGGAGACCTGTCCAGGGTGTCCCTGTGATGGACTGGAGACCCATCCAGGGTGTACCCCGCCCCTCGCACAGTGATTGCTGGACATGGGCACCAGCGACCCCCGTGACCCAAAATGGAATAAGCGGGTAAAGATAATGGATGGATGGACAAATCTTGTTTGGTGGCAGGTTAATCATTTGAACTACCGTAGTTTCAGCCAAACAATCACTGAAGCAGCTGTAATAAGTTAATTGGTCAGTTTAGCACAAAGCATGCAAACAAA